CTGCTCACGATCATTAAGGACCTTCATGATGGTGAGCGGGCCCGGGTAAAACTACGTGGCCGGGAGTCGGAGCCTTTCTCTGTACACCTTGGGGTGCGACAGGGATGTCCTCTGGCTCCCACATTATTTAACATCTATTTTGACCGCGTAGTTCGTGAAGCCTTCAATAGCTGTACCGGGGGAATTTCCGTTTGGTACAGATATAATGGGAGGCTGATCGACGCCCGGGTGCGATCAAGGGATGGCTCCCTATTGGTCAACCACGTTATGTATGCCGATGATTTGGTAATAGCTGCTCATTCAGAAGAGGAGTTGGAGGCGCTGCTGCTGAGACTGGAGCGTGCCACTAAGAAGTGGGGCCTTACCATCAGCCCCACCAAAACCAAGCACCTGCCTGGGTATTTTGTACCATCGGACACTCCACCCCCACAACTCCCAATTGGTGATGGGGCAGTTGTGGAGAGAGTGGAGAGTTTCCCATACCTGGGCAGTGTGCTTATGACCGGCTCCAGTCTATCAGCAGAGGTCTCACTCCGAATCAGTCGAGCGGCAATATCTTTTCATCGGTTGCGTAACGCTGTGTGGAAGCTACCTGGTCTGTCGCTCCGCACGAAGCTTCAGGTCTTCTCGGCCACGGTCATTCCCTCCCTTCTCTACGCTTGCGAGACGTGGACCCCCCTGGTGGAGCATCTTCGCCGGTTGGAAACATTTAGGCTGGCCTGCCTACGATCCATCCTGGGTTTAACCAGGCTGGATTGTGTGAGGAGCTCACAAATCCTTGAAAGATCTGGGCAAAGTCCCATCAGTGAGCTCCTCCGGCAGGCAAGGCTGCGTTGGCTGGGTCATGTAGCCCGCATGCCCAGCCACCGCATGCCTAAACAGCTTTTGTTCGGCCGGATCGAGGGGGCTAGACGGGCGCGGCACGGGCTGGAGAAGAGATGGAGTGATGTGGTACAGGAGGACGTGGAGCTGAGTGGACTTGCCGATGACTGGTACCAGCGGTGTCAAGATCGGCCTCAGTGGAGGAGGCTCGTGAAGGACGCTACTGGGCAGTTGGAGGCAGTCGCCCTCCAACAACAACGGAGGGCGGAGGAGCGACGCTCACAACAACGAGCGGAGCGCCGGGTGGCTAAAGCACAGCAAGTTGGCACAGTAGGGGGCACAGGTGGTGCATCAGCCAGTCATCTCGGTCATCTCGGTCAGTCGACCAGTGGCACCTGGGTCTGCCCCGTGACCTCCTGCCAGCGGGCTTTCGACACTTTACGTGGCCTCAAGGTGCACTTGGCCTGGCACAAGCATCGTGGTGACGTCACCGCCACTTAGTGGCGAATGGCGGTTGTTGTTGTTGTTGTTGTTGTGTGTGCGTGTGGGTGTGTGTGGATGTTGCGGTAGTGTAGCGGTTAACGCAGTCTACTGTGAACCCGACAACCCGAGTTCGATTCCCGCTCATGGCCAACACCAGCAACGATTATCTTAACCGGTCCTGGGCATTCCCAAGGTCGACTCAGCCTCAAATGAATACCTGGTGCAGTGTGTAAACATTGTCAGTGGGGAGACAAAGGCGGCTGGGTGTGGTATTGGCCACCCACCCCCTCGTGTGTCCCGTGCCGGCCTTCATAGGTACTCGCTAACAGCACTTGCCCCAACAGTCCGTTAAAAGCTCTACGGGGGAACTTTGTCCTTGTTCATCGGTGCGTGCGTGTGTGCGTGTGCGTGCGTGCGTGTGAGTAGGTGGCGATGTACCCGCGCGGGCGCTCGGTGACCGAGCTCGAGATTTCCCAGTGCGCCTTGCGCGACCCCGGCAATCTCCGTGCCCGCGGAGCATTCTTCTACTTCCGCGACAGCTCCTTCATCAGGTGCGACGTCCCCACTGCCACTTGCCCGCTGTGATACGGGTGGCATCGCGGCTCTCGAGCATCACTGCGATCCTCTCCCGAGGGTCTCACCCGTCACATCACGGAGGAGGAACTCTGTGCGGGGCGAGGAGATGGGAAGGCATCGCGAAGGGGACCCTACCAACTGCGCCTGAGTGCGTGGGCGGAGGCAGTCACGAGCATTGACTAATCGATAACAAATGTTTTGCCTGATCTAGCATGTTCATTTTGTTTAGTTTATTTTAATAAGGCAATGCTAACTATATATTTCTTAAGTACATTCGCAGACCTTTTACACAATTGTATATACGGTTTCCTCCATGTACCATTTGGGAGATCCAGAGCGTGACGGACGGACACCAGCGAATTACATCGAGAGATTCGTACCGAGTACTCACCGCTACCACACTTGTCACTGGTTCCTTCCGGAACGACGAAGTCCGAGTCAAATTCTCACTCCCACCACCACCACCACCACCGCCACTGCGTTCCGGGTCACTCTGGCTCGTTCCGCTCCATTCCCACCCCTGGTTTGAGTGAATTTGTTATTTTCCTTCTTTGCTGCTGAAAACTGAAATCCCGTTCCTACAGTTGATATGACGTGTGCTTTGTGCATATTTGTACGATGGCGCTCGGCATAGTTATTTGAAAAAGTGGAGTCTATGTTAGTTTAGCATTTATTTACAAATTATTACAGTTTGGTTTTTGCAATTCAGTTACATGTGTGAATGTGTGTGTGTGCGTACCCGAATATGTTTTTGTCTTGGTCAATATGTACATGTGTGCGAGTGCACGAGCGTGTCCTCGCGTGTCTGTGTCCTCGGGTGTCTGTGCGTGTCTGTGCATGTGTCTGTGCATGTGTCTGTCTGCATGTGTCTGTGTCTGCATATGTCTGTGTGCATGTGTCTGTCTGCACATGTTCTCGCTTGTCTGTGCGTGTCTGTGCATGTGTCTGTGCGTGTGTCTGTCTGCATGTGTCTCTGTCTGCATGTGTCTGTGTGCATGTGTCTGTCTGCACGTGTCCTCGCTTGTCTGTGCATGTGTCTGTACATGTGTCTGTGCATTTCTTAATGTGTCTCTGAATGTGGACACGCGTGTCCACGCGCGTGTTCACTGGCGGGCGCCCGCAGCTCCGTCCCCACGGAGTGGGTCGCAGATTTCGCGGCCGAGTCCGACGAGGCCATGGCACGCCAAGAGGACCTGAAGCGGCGCATTATGGAGAGCGGCCTGCCCATCATGGAGCGGTGGGTACCATGTGGTGCCACACCACCACAGAGCCCCGGCGAGTTCGGGCTTTCTGCGATCGAAGAGGGGCAGCCGTGGAGCATGCGTGCGGGGAGCGGTGTAAATCGCACTTATGGGTGAATCACGGCCATCATATTTCACAGCACCGCTGCAGGGAGCAATCGGAGTTCATTCCGATCGCTGGGGGTTACTCGTGTCTCTGGGAAATGTAGGCACCCAAATGTCTGTCGTAAGAGCCTCCGCCACCCGACACTGCCAAACATAATGGGCTACGTTAGGCGGTAGAGGGTGTTAGGACAGAAATGTGGTCAGATTTTTACCATGACCTAACCCAAAAATCTATGATGAATCTTAATATTGGCTGCGAAAACCTACAAAGTTTTTTTTGGGTGCAATTGTGAACAATAGCCATATCACACATAAGTACATGTAATCGGCATACTCATTGGTTCACTGCACCTCAAAGACTCAGTCCTTCAAGGCGTGCGGTGAAGTTAGGAGATGTCCATGTGCTCGGCATTTGAAGGCCTGTGGACCAGAATCAGTGATTTTGCCGACAATGTGTTAAGGGAGGCAGTTCCATATCCGGATAGCAGAGTGAAAGGGAGATTCTGTCCATTGAGCATGTTCTGACATGCTGAACTTAATGACTTAAGGGAAGTCCTTCAGTTCCATCGTCACATGAGTTTGCATGATTGGTGAACGTGATGTGCGCGTGTGCGTGTGTGCGTTTGCGCGTGTGTGCACGTGTGTGCGCGTGTGCGCGCGTGTGCACGTGTGCGCGCGTGTGCGCGTGTGTGCGTGTGTGCGCGCGTGTGCGCGTGTGTGCGTGTGTGTGTGCGCGTGTGTGCGAGTGTGTGTGTGTGCGCGTGTGTGCGTGTGTGTGTGTGCGTGTGTGTGTGTGTGCGTGTGTGTGTGTGTGCGTGTGTGCATGCGTGCGTGTGTGCGTGTGTGTGCGCGTGTGTGCGTGTGTGCGTGTGTGCGTGTGTGTGCGCGTGTGTGCGTGTGTGCGTGTGCCGCGCGTGCTCCCGCCAGGTACCCGTGTGTGTGGGGCGGCGTGGCGGGCGGCAAGCCAGGCGTGGCAGGCCTTGAGGAGTTTGGGAAGGCCGTGCTGCACGACCTGTGGACCGCCATCAGCAAGGAGGCGGCAGAGAGGGTCCGTTGGTTTTTCAAACTACTGTATTTTGTCAGAGTAAAATAAATAAGTCCGGGTATATTATAATTTTCATGAAGCTAGAAGACCGCGTGCATGTACAACGCGGAGTCCGCGAGCACGCAGGTCACTCATCCTCATGTCGTGAGCTCTCGCCTGGTTCAACAAACTTGAAACATCTCAGCAAAGCCCCCGACTCTCCTTATAATGTATCGGCTTGCTCCACGCCCAGCCCATCGAGAGCGCGTGCGACATGACCACGCGGCAGAGGTCGCAACCGGGTACCCGATACCCGTACCCTACCCGATACCCGGCTACCCGTACCCGGCCGGGTACGGGTAGCGGGTACCCGTTTGCGACCCTGGTGCGGCCGGGTACGGGTACGGGTAAGGAATCAAAACCCGTTTGCGACCTCTGCCACGCGGGGCTCAACGGAGGCTCCGGTGTGCGCGCGCTTGCAGGGCCACGGCGACGACGACGGAGAGGGCGGCGCCATCTCGGAGCACGAGCGGCAGGCCGCGTTCGTGGCGATGCAGGCGAGCGGGGCGAGCGCCCGCAGGGGCCCGCTGCAGGAGGCCACGGCGGGGCTGCGCGCCACCGAGGCCGGCGGCGCGGTGCTCGTGCGGGGAGCCAGCGCCAGCGGCAAGACCGTGCTCATGGTGAGAGAAGCCGGCGTGCTCCGCTAGCCGTACGCGTGGTGAGCGCACTGCAGTTGAGTCTCGGGTGCGGGCAGCAGCAGCAGCGCAGCCATCACTGTTGGATGCTTCTTGAATCTGGCAAGCCGCCCTGGTTATTACTTCGGTGTGTATTCAAACAGAAATACGCACCATCTGCTTCACTGTGGTCATTAAATATCCCCTGGCATCATTGTAAACGAGTAGGCCACGTGCACCGATGTTGTGGCCCAAAGATTAAAACAATTACACCGCAGGTTTTACTCGATTGGGAGTGCGTACGTGGAGTAATTTGCGAGTGATTTTTTTCACGTGTTTGTGTGTGTGGCGTTGTGTGGTACAGGCACAGCTGGCGGACCTCCTGGCTCACGGGAGGAGCGGCGAGGAAGCCCACGGGCCCTGCGCGCCCAGCGACGTGCTGCCTTTCTTTAGCGATGCGTGCGGCGAGCGGCCATCTGCCTCCTCCGCCCTCTCGTACCTCTGCACGGGCCTGCGGGCCAGGCTTGGCCTGCCGGGCTCCATTCCCACCTCTCAGCCGTAAGTTCGCGTGCAGTTAGAAAGTCACAGTGAGATTCTACTGCTCGGTGAGAGTTGAGGCGGTGCTCACCTACCATTTACAGCCCTGAGCCAGTGGAAATTCCATATTCCTATGGCAGGAGTGATTTTATCCATAGGACAAACACTGGACTTGCCCACAAAATGGTATCTATTTTATAGCGGTCGGAATGATGGGCCGAGTCAACCCCCAACCAGGATTTGTATTCTCGCACCCTTCCAATTGCGAGCCGCTTGCTCCAGCACTGAGCAATCGAAACTCTTTGAGCTCCTCGAGAGGCAACGGAGAAGCGCCATCTCCCGTGTCGGTGGGGAGCAGCTGCAAGCTGGTGGTGCGCTTCTCCTGACATGTTTTTCTTAAACCTGCTCGCAAATTTACTACTCATCTTAGTAAAAAACAACAATTCTGGGCAAGGAATCCTTATCTTCACTTACTTTAATTTATATCGCGGATTGGTTTCTAGCTTCTTATTTACATAAGTCATCAATTTATCTCTTGTAAAATGCAACTTTTTAAAATCTATCTATTTATGGATTCTGTTGGCTGCTCTGTCATGCGGCGTTTTTCATGCATTTGTTGGTGCCGGCTGTGCGCAGGGCGTTGGCGTCGCTTTTTAAGAGCCTGCTCATGCAGGCCGGAGGAGCTGGCGCCGAGAGGGTGCCGGTCGCCGGCGCGGGAGCACGGCGCGGGCGGCCGGACTTCGTCGGCGAGGCCGGGACCCGGCGTCGCGGCAAGGCTGGGCCCGTCCTCACCGTGCTCGTGGACGGGCTGGACGGCCAGCTCGGCCGCTCCGCCGACTGGCTGCCCATCCCCATCCCGCCTGTGAGTCGCCTGCGCACGCCGCCTCTCCCCCACCGCGTGACCGCGCCGGAGTTCCGCGGCTCACGAGCTGTGCCGCTGCGATGCCGTGCTCTCGCGGCGTACTCATGGACGTCACGCAATGACGGCGTCGTTATCCCCGCCCGCCAGAGGTCGCAAACGGGTTTTGATTCCTTACCCGTACCCGTACCCGGCCGCACCAGGGTCACAAACGGGTACCCGTACCCGTACCCTACACGATACCCGGCTACCCGTACCCGGCCGGGTATCGGGTAGGGTACCCGATTGCGACCTCTGGGATGAAGCCATGTTGCAGGCGCGGGTGGGTTGATTCTAGGAACTTGAATTGTGAGAAGAAACAAGACGTTGGGAAATGAGTGACAAACGGTTACTCACCAGTGACTCACGGCCTACCCGTACCCGGACCCGGCCGCACCAGGGTCGCAAACGGGTACCCATACCCGGCCGGGTACGGGTAGCCGGGTATCGGTAGGGTACGGGTATCGGGTACCCGGTTGCGACCTCTGCCGCCCGCCCCTGGCCCTACGTGGCTCCGAGTCTGATTCAGATGGCTCGTGAGACCTGCGCGACGCGGTTTGGTTCTACAACGTGGAGCCCATCGGAAAATGTAATCTGCGTTTTAATTTCAATCTGGCTCTGTACGTAGTAATATGTTTACTTCATGGCATGACAGTTACAAAAAGTAATCTTTGAACTTATGCGTGCTTCATTCCTCAGCAACACATCTTATCTCAACATTCGAAGGGCACCCCCAGTGACAGCTGCCCCTGTGTGGCAGAAGGTGACTCAGCCCTGGCCTACAAACGGGCATTGGTCTGCCGGCGGGAGGCGACGGTCGCTGTGTGTAGACACTTTGTTGACTCACCGTAGCAATGGACATTGAGAAGGAGTTGGGGTTGCTCGTAGCGGCAGGCTGCCGATGCGAGGGGACGTGCAGACTGGTGTGGTGTGTTGACGTTGCGCACCGACTTGGCTGTGTGTAGGGCGTGCGGCTGGTGGTGAGCGCTACACTGGGCTCGAGCCTGGACAAGGCCCTACTGAGGGTTTGCTCGGTGGCCCAGGTCTGCGTGGGGCCACTCGAGCGGCAGGAGAAGGCCGACTTGGTGCGCCGCACCCTGGCCTCCCACCACAAGAAACTGGATGAGTCGCACTCCAACAATCAGGTGGGATCGCTCTCTCGGCGCGCGCTCCATCCACCCCGGCTGAGCGGGAAGCCTGGACGTCACCCGCCGCTGCTTGGACGTCTGTGATAAAGAGATTGCGTAGCTCATCGGATTCCTCCAGTCTAAATGAAGATTCTGATTCTGTGTCAACCACTTTTTCACGTTGACTGGATACCTTGGAAGAGATGGGAATACCCACATTTTATCCCTACCGCACGTGACCCGCCGATTGTAGACTAATTCCGGTGTTCACATTGAGGCGGGGCCGGGGGTGGGTTGGATTTGAGCACCTCGTTCTGTTGTTTCGGCCGTCGCTCCGGATAGATGGAATCGAACCTTGACCTCTGCGTCACGAGTCCAACGTGCTGACCGTTACCCCACGCAGCTCGTGAGGACGGTGCTGTTGCGGGGTACTGGAGTGTGGAACGGTGCGCTCCGAGTCTCCGTGTGTTCAGGAGAGGAACGCGGGACTCGCTACTTCCTCAATGCTTTCCCTCGAGTGCATTTCATCGTGCTGTGATTTTACCAGATTCTATCTTCTAATTTGTTTGTAAACGAGCGTGTGCGTCGCGTGCGTCGCGTGCACAGATGTCACTGCTGCTCGCCAAGCGGGAGTCTCGCTGCCCCCTTTTCCTCGCCATCGCCTGCCGGGAGCTGCGTGGATTCGGGCTCTTCAGCAAGGTAATAGCGTCGTCACCGCCGCCCGTGTCCTTCACACCTGGGTGCCTCTTCTTCTTGGTTCTTTCGGTAAAGTCACGTGACTTTACCGAAAGAACCAAGGAGATGAATCCCTGCAGTCACGAAAGCTTTAAATCTAAACCTGGGTGCCTTTCTACCAACGCGGGGCCATGCGGAACGCTTCATCGTGATCAGCCAAACTCGCAACCTTCTGATCGCGGGCCGCTCGCTCTGCTGCTGAGCCACCTGCTGTGGCACACGAGCTGAGATAATGCTGTCCTGAGCGTGCTTGATGCTGTTTTAAACAAATTGCCATGCATTTGATTGCTAAATTTTTCTCACCATTTGCACACGAGACAATTGAAATTGTTTGCCGATGTCGGGTGGTGGAGGGTCCTAACAACACAAATGTGGCCGATTCATTAAGTGGCCTCAACCAAGGGTCAATTACGAATTGTAATGTTGGCTGCGGAAACCCGCGGTATATTGAAGAGTCGGCGGGGACCGTTCTGCCGCCCACTGTAGGTGAGCGAGAGGATCAAACAAATGCCGCAGACGGTGAGCGGCCTGCTACAGGAGGTGCTCGCGCGCCTGGAGGACGACCACGGCGCCCCCACCGTGCGGGCCGCCCTCGCCTCGCTCTGCTGCAGCCGCACAGGTGGCGCCCTCGCTCGCGCATCCCGCACCACGTAGCGTCCTCGGCGCGTCCCGCACAACGTAGCGCCCTCGGCGCGTCCCGCACGGCGTGGCGCCTCAGCTCCTGCCGGGGGTTTTTGCCGCGGTGTCCCCGGCCACGGTCCTGAAATTGCCACCTTGTTCTTGAGTCGAGTGCCGCGTTATCGTGCACCGCAGACCCTCGTCGCGCCAAGCAGCCTCAGGCTGCATGGTCCCTACTGCTCGGCAGGCACGTGGCGACTCGCAGGGTGGACGCGACGTCGCACTCGCCCACGCGGGAGAAGGGGCTCGCGTGATCGAGCCTCTGAAACGGAGCCGATCACGAAGCTGGGTGAACGTTTGTGTATGAGAAAGAAACCACCCTGACTTGTTGGCTACTCTATCTGCATGCTCCTCGCCAGTGATCTGCTGCTCGTCAAAGTGATTCCTCGGGCATCGAGGCGGTGCTCATCTGTTCAGTGGTAGAAATGACACATTTTTATTGTGGGGTCGGGTCTCTCCATAGACAACCACGATTGGCTTCCCCACGAAGTGGTACGCATACATTTCATCAACCCCAAACCGGAGGTTAGGCTCAGTCAACCCGCCGCCCACTGCCCCCGAGCCTCCTGGGTGGGCAGGCGAGCCAGCGCCGCTCTCCGTGTCATCGCGTGGTGTTTGTGATCGCAGGCCTGGCCGACGAGGACCTGCGACAGGTCGTGAGCCTGTGCCTGGCCGCCGGGCTGTGGGCGGCGGAGCCCGGAGCTCCGGACAAACGCAAGGCGGCCAAGACCGCGCACGATCCCTCGGAGCTCTGGGAGAAGCTCCACGCGTTGCCGATGTCGCCCCGCAACGCCCTGCCCATGGCCCGCTTTAGTCACCTCATCCGTGAGCTCAAGAGGTCAGTTCGCCGCAACCCGCCGATCGACGCTTGTGGACTACGCCACAAACACGGCACAACGGCGACCTTGAAAATGTGTCGCGCACGGGGCACGCTCCAAGTGAGGTCTTGTTTACCGGTGTTCAGCCTCGATGTTGTGTTCAGAAATAGACCCGCATTGATTACATGCATTTATCAGCTAAAAAATTGTTTTTTACGGGTATTGGTCACACCTCCCATTGATGAAATATTTTCTGCAAATTACTCATTAGGGATTACACACAGCACCAATATTTCCCCCTTGGCAGCACCCCCTTAAAAAAAAATGTTGAAACAGTATCAGTGAAGAAGCTCCTGCAAGTGACCCACTCCCTGCTGGTGCAAGGTCACGTGTTTGTGCCGCTCCCTGGCGGTGTGTTTGTTCCGTAGCTTTGCCGGCGGATCGTGCAGCAGCGAGGGCTCGCCGACCGGGCGCCTGCAGCTGCTGTCCCAGGAGCCGGCGCTGTTGGCAGTGCGCTCGCGATACCTGCATCGGGGCGACTCAGAGAGCCTCGCTCACACGGCTATTGCCGGTCCGTAATCTGCGTGGCATCACACAAAACAAAAAGATCCCCCGTGTAGCCTTCGCAGGTTGTTGGGGCAAGTGCTGTTAGTGAGCGCCTACGAAGGCCGGGTTCATAGCGCGGCGCGCACATTTTCGTATGGGTTGCGACACACTGCCGGTTGCTTCCGTGCCACTGCGCTGCTATCATCGCAGCCGTCTCCCTGGTGGCGTCAGCGCCGCTGCACTCCATGTCCGCTCTCCTCCCGGTGCCCCCGCTCGAGCGGCGTGAGCGTTACCCCCTGAGTGCGACATCTCCGTGTGAGTGTCTGCCCACCAGAGTCTCGCCTGCACGAGGAACCCACTCACGGTACTTAAGAACGGGAACCGGCACTGCCAACGATTGCCCACGCTCTGTGTCTGTCCCCACACGTGCGAGGTTGGGGGCGCGGGGGGGGGGGGTAACACTCAATCCCCGTACAGGTGAAAGTTAACTCACTTGCTGTACTGCTGCCATACGTTGGCAAGTCGGGAGATGGCGACCTTGGGCCGCCTGGGTGAGGAGGGAGTTTCGTAGGCGCGTGCGATCCACCAGCCCAACTCACCCCTCCCGTGCTTTGCCCCACAGTGCATTTGCTCAAGAAGTTGAAGCCGTGGCAGGATGGACGCGTGTCACACGTGGACCCAGACGTCCTGGCGGAGCTGCCGTACCACCTGGTACGTCAGACATCTGTGGTCGTCTCATCCACCCACCCTCCTGCTTGTCCACCCACCCACCCGCCTGCCCTCCTACCCACCTGCCTATCTACCCTCCCAGTAAACACGCAACGTTGCGTGTGGTTGGTATCGTTGTGCAGTGGTACCTCGGTATACGTCGTTGATTCGTTCCAGAAGGGGAAGGACTTATACCGAAAATGACGAACACCAAACGAAGTTTTCCCATAAGAAATAAAGGGAAAGGAAATAATTTGTTCCAGAGTAGAAGAAATGTAATTTTATATGGCATATTATACATTAATGGGGTTGTATACAATAATGTAGACACTACTTATTACTAAAATGCATGCATAAAATAAATGCATAAATAAATTAAAAGAAATTTTAATACAAATAAAATTTAACATCACTTTACCTTGCTGAGAGGAGTTGACAGCCTACGAGGATGGTGGTGAGGAAGGGGAGGAGTGGTGAACGGGGTCTACGCAGTGACTCATCCCGACCCATACAAGTTATAGCAAGCGCGTCGTATCCCGAGCAAGACGTCGTATCCCAAGCAAGACGTCGTATCCCAAGACATGTTTTTTCTCGCCAAAACACGACGTATACCAAACTCGACGTATTCCAAAGCGGCCGTATACCGAGGTATGTCTGTATTAACGTTGGCCCGACGATGCATATTTACTGGGCCCCGCTCACCTGCCCTCCTGCACACCTGACTGACTAACCAATAGTGTAGCTCGGCAGAACGACTCACCTCCCACTCTCATGAATGGCCCTGGCTTTTCAACTGCCCAGCTGAAAATGTGCTGGAACATTTCCTGGCACGCAAAACATTTCACGAAGTTTGTGACCTTTTCTTCTTGGTTCTTTCAGTAAAGTCACGTAGAAGGGAAGTAATAAAATATATTATATTATTTTATTATGTTTTATTTTTATTATTTTATTACTTCCCTTCTACGTGACTTTACCGAAAGAACCAAGAAGATGAATTCCTGCAGTCACTGAAAGCTTTAAATCGAAATTTGTGACTTTTGTGTGAGTTGTTGGCGTGTTTTGCGCGCTCTGCTGTTCTTGTGTCAGAGCTGGGTCTCGTTGTAATTCCGGAACCTACATTATTGCACTTGACTAGTGACTTGCCGATTGCAGGTCCATGCGGGGCTGGCGGTGAAACTGGGTCACCTGTTGGCCGACCTCCGATTCCTCTACCTCAAAATCGCCAACCGCACCGTCCCCCAACTTCTGGAAGACTTCGACCTCTACGGTAGCCCGGGTTTTCTCCTCCCAATACCCAAGAGGGAGAGTTTCTCGCAAGCATCGTGCACTAAATTATGTTGTGGTCGTCAATCAGGACTTGGCGCAAGAGCGCAGAAGTGTGGTCGCCACATCTACGCCTCTATATAAGGAACAAAACAGTTAGACTTCTCCACAAATCTGGCTGTCGCCTGATGAAGCTAGTTGTAATTACTGGCGAAACGTCATACTCGGATTGTAAATGTTGTGGCTTGGCTCTCCAACACACCGGTGTGCTGTACTAGTGACGAATTGACCACGTTTTGTTTACGTAACAACCCTTACTAGTTGGCTGTGTTGGGTGGTGGCGGGTTTTAAGGACACATTTATATATTTACGCGATCTAACCCAAAAAACCTCTTATGAATCAGGACAAGGTTTACAATGGTTTACACAAAGTCGGCACAAGCGTGACACTGAACCGCGGATTGCGCAGACAAACTTAAACCTCAGCTGACACAGACGCAAGCTAACGACGTAAAACGTCAACACGATTTTACATTTCATAGACTGAATCCCACGGAAGAGTTGATCGCGTGTGCGCATCGTGTGCGTTGTTTTCAGCGACTTCCGTTGCCCAGCAGGGGCTCGCCCCTTGCCCGGTCGTGGAAGAGTTGCGAGGGTTTGTGAGCCAGAGCCAGCACATCCTGCGTCGGAGCCCGAGGCTGATGTGGCAGCAGGCCATCAACTCGGCCCCCGGGTCTCCCGCCAGCGTGCAGGCCGCGTCGCTGGCGGTGCAGGCCTCCCGGGACACGCCAGGAGTCGCGAGCCCGCGGCCGGGATACGTCGTCGAGTGGGTCAACAGGCACCACGCTGCCCCGGCTGCCCTGCGGTACGGGGGGATGAGTTAATCCGTGGAGCGACGAGGGTTTCTCCTGTTGATTGATCGGTGGAGCGACGAGAGTTTCTCCTGTTGATCGATCGGTGGAGCGACGAGAGTTTCTCCTGTTGATTGATCGGTGGAGCCACGAGGGTTTCTCCTGTTGATTGATCAGTGGAGCGCAGAGGATTTCTCTTGTTGATCGATTGGTGGAGCGATGAGATTTTGATTAATCAGTGAAGTGACGAGAGTTTCTCCTGTTGATTGATCGGTGGAGCGACGAGAGTTTCTCCTGTTGATTGATCGGTGGAGCGACGAGGGTTTCTCCTGTTGATTGATCGGTGGAGCGACGAGGGTTTCTCCTGTTGATCGATCGGTGGAGCCACGAGAGTTTCTCCTGTTGATCGATCGGTGGAGCGATGAGGGTTTCTCCTGTTGATCGATCGGTGGAGCGACGAGGGTTTCTCCTGTTGATTGATCGGTGGAGCCACGAGAGTTTCCCCTGTTGATTGATCGGTGGAGCGACGAGAGTTTCTCCTGTTGATTGATCGGTGGAGCGATGAGGGTTTCTCCTGTTGATTGATCGGTGGAGCCACGAGAGTTTCTCCTGTTGATTGATCGGTGGAGCCACGAGAATTTCTCCTGTTGATCGATCGGTGGAGCGACGAGAGTTTCTCCTGTTGATTGATCGGTGTTTTGACGAGGGTTTGATTAGTGGAGCGACGAGGGTTTCTCCTGTTGATTGGTCGGTGTTTTGACGAGAGTTTGATCAGCGGAGCGACGAGGGTTTCTCCTGTTGATTGATCAGTGAAGCGACGAGAGTTTCTCCTGTTGATTGGGCGGTGTTTTGACGAGAGTTTGATCAGCGGAGCGACGAGGGTTTCTCCGCTTGCTTCCGCGCCTCCAGGACGACCGGAGGCTTCGCGGGGGAGCCGTGGTGCCTGGCGACATGCGCGCGCGGCGACGCGGTCGTCGCGGCGACCAGCCTGGGGCACGTGCAGCTGCTGCACATCGACACGGGCAAGGCAAGCGCCGCCGCCTCTCCCCACTGAGCACGCAGGGCCCAACGGCCCAAGACGGCAAGCGGCCAACAACAAACAGCACCGTCAGAGTTGTAGGAGATGAAAGTTATACGTGATGAGGAAGACGGCTTTGTTGTCCAGACTTTGCGAACATTGAAAAATTACCTGCAAATTACTCACTTGGAATAACACAGTGTGTAGCAACTGGGTGACAGTCGGGCATTCGTTTGCCGGTAGGGAGTGATGAACTACTGGGGGAACTCATAAACCATCCCACCCCCCTGAGCCTGAGCGCAAGGGGGGTGGCGGATGCGATCATTGACCAACAACGTAACAAGTTGTGCCCGTTTCAGCAGCACGTTCATTTCAAAGAATAAAGCAGTGTTTAATTGTTTTATATTTATATACAGGTTGGTGCAAAAGTCAGGACATGTAGGGTTATTTCGTTTATTTTAACACTGGCACTAAAATTGTTTATTCTTTATGTGAATATTTTGTCTATTATCATCGCGAATATCTTTCTTCTCAAAGGAGCTGCAGAGCATGTCCGCACACAGTGAAGGCATCTCCGCATGCTGCTTCCTGTCCGAAAACCTCATCTGCTTGGGCACGAGTAATGGACAGATGTCCACGTGGAACATCCGAGAGGGATACAGGTAGCATTACGATCTCCAAACACAACGCCCCCGCGTAGCTTTGGGGACCTCACGCGGCTCCTCCATCCTGGCAGCTCGGCGTGGAGAAACGTGGATTGCCGTAACCCTGTGCTGCATGAGAAACGGTGTCGGTGGAGCTCTGCTGTTAGCGCTGAGGTTCTCTCCCCGTGCGTGCGTGCAGGGTGCTGAGCGTGCAGGCGCACAGGCTGCGCGTGTCTGGCTGTGCTCCCAGCGCCTGCGGCAGGCAGGTGCTGACGGTGTCGTGGGACTGCTCTCTTAAGGTGCCCAACGCAAACCACCGCCCCCAACGTTACCCAACAACAGCAACGGCAGCGGCGGCCGCCATTCGCCACTATGTGGCGGTGATCTCACCACGGCGCTTTGTGTCCCGGGCTAGGTGTGCACTTTGAGGCTGTCGCGTAAAGTGGCAGGAGGTCACGGCACAGACCCAGGTGTTATGGGTTGAATAACCGAGATGACTGGCAGATGCACCACCTGTGCCTCACGCGCACGCACATGGATTTACAGAGTTCGCCCGAGAACTACAACATACTACCGTGTGATGAGCAGAATACATTTTCTGAAGGGATTCAAATTTTATAAAAACTGATTTAGTTCATGGTTGGCTGTGTGAAGGTTTGGAGTGCGGGCTGTGTGTGCACGTGTTCTGTAGAGCAGCGGTTCGTGCACTGCGCTACAAACCCAGCGACCAGAGTTCGATTCTCGCTCACGGCCAACACCATTGACAATTATCTGCACAGGTCCTGAGTCTCCCCTAGGTCAACTCAGCCTCAAACGAGTACCTGGTGCGGTGTAAACATCACCGCACTTGCACCCAGACAGTCGGCAAGGCTATACGGGGGATCTTCGTCTCTGCGCGTGGTGTAGATTTGGAGCGTGACCGAGGGGCGTTGCGTCGCCGAGCTGAGTTCCAGCCGGCCGCTCTCCTGCGTCGCCGTTCACCCCCGGGGAGCGCTCGCGGTCACCGGCAGCTGGGACTCGGCGCTCGTCACGTGGGACGTCTTCCACCTCCGGCGCGTTTCCGTGAGCGCCCTCCCCTCCCGCGTCTCTGTTCGCACAACGTCGTGCGCACGACAGTAACGATAACGACGTCGTCGTTCGCGCAAATTTGCAGGTCCCACACGTCACTGCGGTCGAATTTGCGACGCCGCGCACGGTTCCTCCCGCGTGGGAAGCCACAGACGAGCGGGGAAGGTGGCCAGAACTGACGCCAACGATCGCCCAAGCTCTGTGGTCCCATATTGGGATGTTTGGTCAAGAGCTGTGCGCACAAACTCGTGCACACGCGCGTATCCGCACGCTCACGCAGGCGTCCACCAGCCCGTGCCACGGACTTTGCCGTAAGTTGAATTGGTACCAGTCAGTCCAAGCCACTAGAGGCATTTAAATGCTTGATTTTAAAAGTTTGCACCGAATAAATGTTTCAAATATGTATTGTCAGCGCGCCCAAAATTGTGCAACAGCAGTGAAAAGCTAGCAAAAGGAAGGAAGCAGCGATAGCTAGGAGTGGTAGCAATGAATGGCTGTGATGACCGTTGACCTTGACCGTGTGATGCGCGCCGTTTGCCCTGTGCGATCGCTCCACGTGCCGCGCCCAGACTCTGCGTGGACATAGTGCAGCAGTCCGCGCGGTGGCTTACAGCCCGTCCGGCAAGCACCTGGCCTCGGCTGCCCTGGATGGCGAGGTCATATTGTGGGCGTCTGAGTCGGGCACCGTCCTCGGCACCTACCTGGGCCACCAAGGCCCGGTGAACTGTGTCCAGTTCACCCCAGACGGTCGCTATCTGCTAACCGGAGGCGATGACAACAAGGTAAAATACGGATGTGTGAGTAAAGGTACGCGGCGGCGAGCGTGTGTCTTGGCCAAGGCCGTAATTATAATATATGTTGGGGGGGGGGACACATCCCCCCCCAATATTCAAATATGCTCAAAATGTCCCCCCCAATATAGTGCTATAAAATAGATTTCTGTTTATGTGATTGTGGTTATGGTTGTACTTTATTAATCCCTAATCTCTGCCATTACATACAATGAAACAAGAAAAGGTAAAAAAGAAAAACAGAGCAATGTAACACAATACATTATTGGACATTATTGTAAAAAATAAATAAAAAGTCCATCCTATGTGTTAGTGAATGTTTTAATATTTTAGGCAGGAAATTAGTTTTCAAATTTAGATTTTTTTCTGGGGGGGGGGACCCTGGAAGATTTGGTCCCCCCAATGTTGACTCCATGGCTACGGCCTTGGTCTTGGCTATGGGAGAACCCGGACGAAACGCATGCATGACAGGGGGAGGACACACGACTCGGCACAGAGAGGCGCCCACGTCGTGAATCGAACCCAGGCGTTTTTATTTTGTGTCCCACGAGGCCACGAGCGTTACCGCCCTGCCGTCCCTCGTCTGCAGGTGCGGGTGTGGACGGGGGGGCTCGGCCGGCCGGTGGCGGTACTGGGCGGCCCGGGACAGGACGCGGTGCCAGCGGCGGTGGTGGCGGCGCTCTGCGTGTCGGGGAGCCCGGACGGCTCCCAGCTCGCCGTGGGGCTGCACAGCGGCGGCGTTCGAGTGCACGGCGTCCACTCGGGTGAACACCCCCACCCCCCGCAAGCGCCGCGGCAGGGCACGCACGCTGGCTGCTCGGCGCATTGTCGGCCCGCGAATTGTAACCTTCACGCTTTACGCGAGTCAGAAACTCCCAGGCGCCTTACGTCACACCTCGTCTCAATCATTCAAAGTTTCCACCCCCTCAGGGCCGCTGTCTCCGTGGGTGCCAGGCCTGGAAGCGGGCACTGGCCGTTGATTGCTGTGTGCAATCCCAAATTAATACTTTGCGGAATTTTTTGTTACAATTTTGTCAAGTTTGGACAATGACACCAGAACACAGCGGCCATTCGTTTTGAATGACATGTCGGATCTTTAACGTCCACTGTGTGGTAGACGGCGCGTAGTATTGTAGGGTTAATTCACTCATTATTTACCAGGTTGGCCTGTTGGATTCAAACCACAAACCTCTGCGACAAGCGGCAAATGCTGTGACACACTGGGCCGTGTCACTGCCCCACGTGCTTCCTTACAGTTTTTATTCCAATGTTTATATGTAAAAATTCCAACGACAGATCACTGAACAATGTTACGAACAAAACCACAGCATATATAAAGTACATTTTAAACTTGCGTTCATTCAATGAGATCTCAGTCAGTGAAAGTTAACGACAGTGTAAGTTGCATTGGTTTCTTTTTCCAGTTCACGTATTGTCTCGAAGTAGTGATGTAGGGCTTCCGGAGTCGTCTCTACCCCTTGCTGCTGTTCCAGACACCAGGCAGATGCATTCATCACAACCAAGGTCATCGAACACTCGGCAGTTGTAGTTGCGTCGTCGCCTTTGTGCAGGATGGCTCGTTGACTTAGACTCAAGAGTGTTTGAGTCACGAGTGTTTTGATCTCACTCTTTCTGAACTGTAGCTGCTGAATTTGACTTTAGTGTTCATTTAACTTATGGCTCACACCTCCATCGTCAGATCCAGAGTAAATAATCAGAATAATAGCATCGTACTCATTATAGATTTTGGGTTAGGCCACGCAATGATCGAGTTAAATATTGGCTGCGAAAAACCATCTACGTGTGAAGTGAACACTGATTGTGCATGACCTCGCAATCTGTGTTTGTTAAGGCTATATGGGGAATCTTCGTATTTGTTTTGTTTGTTGTGGAGAGTGGTGGTGCAGTGGTTATGGCACCGTGCTGCAAACCCGGCGACCAGTGTTCGATCATGCTCACATCGAATAACATTGGCCAATATTTTAACCGGTCCTGGGCCTTCCCTAGCTTGACTCAGCCTTAAATGAGTACCTGGTAAGATGTTTAAACATCGGGAGACAAAGAAAGGCTGGTCTGGTGATAGCCACCCACCCCCTCGTGCGCCTCGCCAGCCTTAACAGGCGCTCGTGAACAGCACTTGCCCCAACAGTCTGTTCAAGGCTACACGGGGGACCTCTGTCTTTGCTAGGCGTCACCGTGGAGGTGCAGGCCCACCCGCACGCGGTGCACTGCGTCGTGTGGCTGCTGGGCACTGGCGGCACGGCACTGGCGTCCGGCTCGGAGGGCGGCTCCGTGAAGGTTTGGCGGCTCAGCGGCACGGAGGCCCCGGGCGACGCGGCGGCCCTGACCCTGAACCGGACGCTGCAGGGCCTCAGCGGCGCCGTGCGGGCCCTCGCCTGCTCCGACCGCTTCCTCGCCGCCGCCTCCGGTGCGCGTTCCCCCCGCGCCCCACCCCTCGCGCCGCCCCGCGCGCCAAAGTCGGTTGAGGTCACGCAGTCGCGTGACCCCCGTGCGTCGTGCTGTCTGAAGCCTCGTGCGTAAGTTTACGTTGTCAGTAGAAGCCAAATTGATTTCCTGCCCAGTTGAGTGCTGATGCGGTGCTCATCTCCTGATCACGGCCCTGAACCGTTTTCCAAAACGTCGATCGGAGCCCACGCTGTATGAACTTGGTTGGGGTACCTTCATGTGAAATGCACGCGTACTGTCTATGTACAGACTACCGCTTCTAAATCCCCAATAGTTAAATCTTGACTTAAAGCTTTCGTGACTGCAGGAATTAATATTCTTTGGGTCTTTCGGTAAAGTCACGTAGATAGGTTCAAGGAAAATGACAAAAAACTACGACGTTTCGATCGCAACACAAGCGGTCCCTTTTCCTGATGATGACCGTAGTTTTTTGTTATTTTCTTTGAACCTATCTGCGTGACTTTACCGAAAGACCCAAATAATATGATCCCCAATAGTTCTATACATATTAAAAAAAATTCCAATGAGTATAATGCATATGGAAAATATACCGGACACAAATACGCATACCGTACACGATGGAAACTGAAAAGCATCGGCGTAGACACGGCGCCGTTGCCTCGCGCTCTGCGCATCGTTCCGCAGACGACGCCATGGTGGTGCTGTGGCCGATCGGGGAGGCTCGCGGCGGCCAGGGTGAGGTGACGAGCGCCCCGAGCGGCGTGCTGTGGGGCCATGAGGGAGCCGTCACCTGCTGCTGCTTCAGTCCCGACGGCTCTCAGTTGCTCACAGGCAGCAAGGACCGGGTATGGAGTAATCGCAATCCCAGCACGGCCGCGAGCAGTGTGTGACCGAGTGGCTGTGTGTCAGTAGAAGTCAAAGTGCGGCCGTGCGGCCATGTGACCGTGCGGCCATGTGACCGTGTGGCTGTGTGTGGGGCGCAGAGCCTGGTCTTCTGGGAGGTGCAAGCCTCCCGAGCCCGGCTGCGTGTGCCCAGCTCGCACGGCGACTGGGTGACGGGCGTGCACTGGGACCGCGACGGGGAAACCGCGGTAAGTCCTCAGCGCGAGTCTGCCACCTGCGTCGTTGGGAGATGACGACGCGCGGTGACGCCGCTCCGCTTTCGGCAGGAATTCACAGCTCCCACGCGTTGCCTCGCGTGTCACGTGACCACCACGTTGCCCGCACAGCGCCCTGGCTGAGAGCACCGTGGCCCGATGGGAACCGTGCATTCACCCGCTGTTTGTGAGCGTGCCACCCTCACATGTTTGAGATGAGATGTGAGACGATTTGAGTTGTTGAGGCATTTAATCGAACCTCATATAAATGCAATAATAAATGTTTTTCATTATCATCAATATAATTATTGGTGGCCTTGGAGCCATTTCCAGGGGAAGCTCTGGAAGCGCCGTGTTGTTGTTGTCAGCTCGAGGCGTCGCCTTTGTGTCGCCGCGTGGTTCCCCCTCTCATCTTCCAGGTGTCCTGCTCAAACGACTGCACCGTGAAGGTGTGGGATGCCAGCACGGGCCACCTGCGGCGAGAATTGAGGGGCCACCAGAGCTCTGTTAACTGCGTGAGCGTCATGGTGAGTAAGCTGAGCCCAGGCCCCGAAGGCCCAAAGCGTCTCTGGAATTGAGCAACGTTATTATCGTACGAGCTCCGCGAAAAGAGAAGTTGGGAGGGAAGTCCAAAGTGGAGCGGTGCGAAGGAAAGCGCAAGTCTGCTGGTGACTTGCAGTGTGGTGGTTGAACGTGGTGCGGATGTGACGATGGATGGTGTGTTTGGGTCATTTTTGGCCAAATGTATTCTACGCAACCCTCCACCACGCAACATGGCCAAACAAATACAATTGTCACATGGTGTACGAGCGTTTAATGCACCAATTGTTATCGTCTCGGCTCACTCGCCGTCAAAGTTGAAGAGCAATTATCACAAATTTTGCAATCAAGCATATTCAGGGATAGATCCAGGAAGCAATCGTTGGCAACAAGATCTGGGCATCCCTGGGTGATCACTCAAGGACCTGACGGGCACACGGGGAGAGATACTGCTGTGAGTCGAGATGTTTCTCCCGTTGATCGAGTCTGGTTGTCCTCCTCCTTTCCAGGACGGGGTGATTCTCTCGGGAAGCTCCGATGGGCAGCTCCGTGCGTGGCGCTGCTCGGGCCAGGAGATCGCGTGCATCCCCGCACATGCGCAGCGCATCAACGGCGCCTGGGTCTGGCTGCAGCAGCAGCAGCAGGGTGCAGGTAGGCAGCACCCGGGCCCAGCGCCGAACTTCGCGCTGCTGCCGCTGCTGCTGCCGCTACGTATTTTGTTTGAATTTGGGAATGACGAGCAAAGCCATCTCATCAGAACATGTAGTGTACCCTCTCGATGAATCCCAATAAGGACGAAACCAGTCTACAGTTGTCTCTGTCTCACTGGTTCCTGTTGATTAATCATATGCACTCAATTTATTGTTGGTGATTTAAGAGAATATAACCACAGTGCATTCTCTTCAGTAACTGGTGGTTTACATCATGTGTCAAGGCTGACAGTGTTGTGTTCATACGGTGCACGTGTGTATTGTGTGTCATGTGCAATCCGTTTCTTACATCAGCCAAAAATAACAAACACAAAGATCCCTTTGTATAGGCTTTACAAACTATAGGGGCAAGTTCTGTTAGCGGGTAGCACCTATGAAGGCCGGCACGGCTCACGAGGGGGTGGATGGACAGCACCACACCCGGTCACATTTCTTTTCCTAGTTGCAATGTTTAACGCCGCACCAGGTACTCATTTGGGACCGATTCGGCCTAGGAGAGCCCTAGGAACGGTTCAGATAATCATCACTGGTGTTGGCCGTGAGCTGGAATCGAACTCGGGTCGCCGGATTCATATCGCAGCGCTAACCGCTGTGCTACCTGCTCCCCACAACTAAACACGAGGGGAGGATCAGTTACACGGCGGTTAGTGCACTTTTCTACGAACCCGATCACCGACGTTTGGACCAGGGTTAGGCCCGCCTCCTCTTCACCAACCTGCACTGCCCAGCATGGTGCAGTATAATAAAAACAACCCCGTAACGTAAAAGTAGTTGGGAGGCCTTTGTCCAGCAGTGAATTGACAAATTATTCTAAATTATTATAATTGTTATTTTCCTTATTAACAAACACATGGCCCTTGTGGCTCATGGTTGATAGTGGTGACTACTGTGGGACTGATTGGACCACGTTGAGGGCCGTTAACACCACACGAGGTTGCTCTGGAATGACCTCATTCGGTTTCATCTGTTTGGTAAAGTGAGTGGCTTGCAAGCAGAAAGTTGCAATTCAAATCCTGATTGGGGGTTAACTCACTCCATCATCCCTCTGCGGTTGATAAAATAAGTTCCACTTTGTGGAGAAGTCAACAGCACGGTGGAATCTCCACCATTGGTTCAGGGCTGTAAAGGACAAATGAGCATTGCCTCACTGCTCAATTGAGCCGAATATCTATTGTCAAACGTAAACTTTTTGCGATGTTTTTTTTCCCCGCCAAGTTGTTGACCGTGCTCGATGCCGCGGTGCCTCGCAGGGAAGCGGCCGGGGGAGGAGGCGCTCTCCGAGGCACTGCGTGCGGCCTCCGCCAGCGACGACAGCACCGTGCGGATCTGGGCCCCACTCATGGTGCGTCGCTCGCGCTGCCTGGCCCCGTGGCGCGCTTGTCTGCTCGCACGCAGTAGCGTAGCAGAACTCTGTAGCGAGCAGTGCATCACCCTGTGTTCGAGAACGCCTTCTCGTGCCCATTCAATGGCAGAGCAGACCTGAGAGGAGACGCTGGGGGACCGTCAGGGCAGATCTCGGAGGCCGCTGCGAATCTTCAATGCAGCTGCAGCGCGATCTGGCAGAGGGGAGAACGTGTTAGCGATGTTGTGTGCACCGAGGCTGTGACCACGCCCCCCCCTTCCCCCCCCCGGCTGTTTGTCCGGCCTCAGGGCAGCGAGCTGGCGTCTCTGAGCGAACACTCAGGCCCAGTGCAGGCTCTGGCTGTAACAGCACTCTCCAATTGCGCCCTCTCTGCCTCCAAGGATGGCTCCGTCAAGATGTGGCAACTCCGCATTCTGCCCGGTGAGACACCGGCATTCCCCATCCGCTCCGCCCTGGTTGGTCAGGGTCGGGCATTCCAACAGTTGTTCATCGCGATCATGGAGGCCTGGTGGTGAACGGGACCCCACGTTGCGTCACCGCCACTGTGAATTGTGCGTGCACAGCGTTCACGGTTGTTGTGGGTCAGTGTTGTTGATGCCTCTTTATCTTGCCGTCTCTTCCTTCCTTGGGCCAAATAACATGGCTGTTGCACAGGTGACACCAAGTCGGCAATTAGAATAGCATTTCCGGTCAACATTCCAGTGTCTAGATATACAGGGTGTGGACCCAATTTCAAAGCAGTATATTTCACGATGGCAACATGTTACAATTACACGAAAAGTTACAAACGGTTTAATGAGTTATCAAGTTTTCCTAACCATTTTATAAATGCTCTATGTGCCCTCCACCTGCTGTACGGACAACATCAAGACGATAGTTGAATTCGTCCCAAACGCCTCTCAAAGTGTCTTCTTCCACTGAAGTCACCGCTGCCGTGATTCTGTTTTTGAGGTCATCCAGATTAGTCGCTAATGGTGGCACAAAAACACGGTCTTTGACGTATCCCCACAAGAACAAGTCGCAGGGTGTGATGTCTGGGGATCTTGGGGGCCAAGAGTGTAGCGCCAAGTCTTGGGGTCCCGTGCGACCTATCCAACGTTGAGGCAGAGAATGACTGAGGCTAGGGGCTGTTTGTGCGCTGGGAGAGGCATCTAGCAGTAATCATTTGAAACTCTATGCCCCGCCCTCTCTATGCCCCGCACTCTCTATGCCCCGCCCTTTCCAGTGGTAAGAGTTTCATTCATGGGTGGTTCGTGGTTGCAGAGATATAGCGATTTAAAATCTGGTCCATCTTTTTGAAACACCCTGTACCTTTGTGCTTTAAAGGTATACAAAACACCGAATTCCGTCCATGTATTTTTAGAGGTTGTAAATTGCCTTTGGCCAAATACCTGCCGGAATTTAGAAATTAATTCTAAATAAAGTCGTGAAAGTGATTTCCCTATTAAGTGACGATTGAGGCGGCGGTCATCTACGTTCAGATCCCGGTGCCGGTGGTGGCAATTCCACATTCATCTGACGGGGGTGCGTCCATCCATAGGAAACCCATTGTTGACTTCCCCACAAAGTGTTCCTCACCTTAGCAACCTCAGAGGAATGATGGGCTGAGCAAACCCCCAGCCAGGAGTTGAACTCGCAACCTCCTGACTGTGGGGCTCTCGCTCAACCCCTGCCTGCTGTCCGGATTCCGGGTTTAACGGCCATTTTCATTCGTGGAGACTTGATGAGTCATGGGCGTGTGTGTGCGTGTGCGCGTGTGCGTGCGTTTGTGTGCGCGTGCGCCCGTGCATGTACGTTTGCATGGCGCATTGTTGCTGTTGTAGCCGCCGCCAGCACGCTGCCCTGCAGGCACCAGCGCGCGGTGACGGCAGTGCAGGCGTCCCCAGGGGGGCGCCACGTGGTGTCGGGGGCCGAGGACGGCCATGTGCTGCTGTGGAGCCGCTGCTCGGGCCCCGCGCTCGCCCCAAGCGCTGCGGTGCAGGTGAGGGCTGCGGGGAGTGAAATACAATAATTAACAACAAAGATAAAAAAAAAAAGATCCTCCGTATAGCCTTAACAGACTGAAGGAGCAAGTGCTGTTAGCGAGCACCTATAAAGGCCGGAACGGCACACGAGGGGGTGGGTGACCAGCACCACGCCCGACCGCCTTTGTCTCCCCAGTGGCGATGTTTATGCACCGCACCAGGTACTCATTTTAGGCTGAGTCGACCTAGGGGAGGCCCAGGACCGGTTCAGATAATCGTCACTGGTGTTAGCCGTGAGCGGGAATCGAATCCAGGTCGCCAGGTTCATAGCGCAGCGCGCTAACCGCTACACTACCGCTCTCCATAATAATTAACAACACACATAGACACATAATAATTAACAACACACATAGACACACAGACATCAACACAAGACAAATATACAGACGCGCAGACCTTGAAATGAACACAGTTGATCGAGACAGGAACCTTAACTGCGTGGCGGCAGTTAAGAGGAGGATGATGAGAGGGCAGGAATTTTCTTTCGTGGACAGTTTGCTCCAGGCCAGCTGTGCATCATTATCAGAACTTTTAGAATGTCGCAAACCGGGAGCGAGTGGCGGTGATCGTGGTGGCCGTGTGCGCCGGTGCTCGCAGGCTCACGACGGAGCAGTGAGCTGCGTGTGCTTCCCGGAGCGGGCGGAGGAAACGTTCCTGACGGCAGGAATGGACCGACAGGTGTGCTGCTGGAGGATTCTGCCAGGGGACCGTGTGGAGGTGTTGTGCCGGTAAGCGTGCGTGCCGGTAAGCGAGCGTGCCGGTAATCGAGTGTGCTCTGTAAGCATTCACTGTAAGTCTTTCTGGATCTTGTCCCAGCGGTGCTTGGCGAAACGTTGCGCATCTAATCGGCCAATTGGTTGCGGCGGAGTGGTAACGGCTGTGGCTTCTCCTCTCTGCGCTGGAACCCAGCTTGCACAGCTTGGAAGTCGAGGTTCCGCTCGTGTCGATGGCCGCCACGTGGGAGGCTTGCGGCAAGGGAGGGGGCGGCGGCGTCGGCGCCGTCCTGGCGGGAGACGCCGCGGGCCAGGCGCTGCTGCTCAGCTCACGGCCCCTCTCCGTCACCGCCAGGAGGACCACACGGTGGGGGCCTACTGCTTTAAAGATGTTTATTTCACCAGATAAGGTCCCACTGAGCTATATAGCTCTTTTTCAGAAGTGACCTGGCCACAAACGACAGCTCAACGAAGTGGCTTATCACGTGGGAATTTACAGCAAGCATATACTATAAAAAGCATGTTTATAAATGTGGAGGGAAAAACCGGAGGACCCGGAGGAAAATCCACGTAACCACGGGGAGAGAGACAGCAGGCGTCAGGGTCGGAACCGAAGCCACGACCTCCTGCATACCAGGCGAGGAAGATGACATCTCCCCACCGGGTGCTCCGCCGAGTTTCTGCAGCCAACGCACCACCCGGGGACGCTTGTTTCGGCCGGTGGCAAGAGCTGGGAGTCCTCATGTGGCTCTGGGACAGCCCCCGTGCTCACTCAGTATTTGACTTTGGCTCGGCACGGCGTGAGGTGTGGTGAGGGGGATGAGTCCGCTGTGCCCGCGATCTGGCAGGTCTGTGGCGCTCGTAGGGGTCCGCGTGTGACTGCTGCCTCCTCCTGGGAGGGGACTCGGGGCTGCAGCAAGGAGTTGAGGCATCGTCCCGTCGACCCCTGTGTGGTCAGGCCATGCGTTAGCTGTCGCCCTGCCTGGCTCACGCTGTGTTCACCCCGTACCCTGCACCGCACTCGCGTTGTGTCTCAGGGGTGTTTGTGTCTCTGGTTTGATGTTGCAATGTGCTACCCGAGCCTGCTCCGGCCCATGGACAACCTCTGGCGTCTCCCCGCTTCATGGCTCCTCCAGCCACCACGTGACACTCGCCATCTTGCTGTCCTACAGAATTGTTGACCATGCTCAGTTTCTGTTTTTGGTACATTCAATGGTGCTCAATAAGAGACCATGAGCCGCCCGTTGTACATAAGTAACAGAATAACTAAGCCTCCTTCACATATGTCCTTTCACATAAAATACAAATATTTTTACACATCTCAACAGCCACAACATTTCAGCAGCATTGGTTAAACACAAGGAAACTCTGTACCACTTTTGACAATCATTGTCTCATCAGCAGAGTCAGGCTCGCTTGAACCAATCAATGCTGGTGAGTTTAACACGTAGGAGGCTTTTGCAACCAATATTATCCATAATAGAGGTTTTTTGGGTGAGATCGCATAACTATAAATGTGTCGTTAAACCCGCCACCACCCGACACAGCCAATTAGTAAGGTTTGTCACGTAGACAGAGCGTGCCAATTAGTTACTACTACAGCATACCGGTGTGTTGGAGAGTGAACCCGCAACATTTACAATTTGAGTACGACGTTTCGCCGCTGATTACAGCCAGCCTTATCAGGCAACGGCCCAGATTATATATATCGGTCCTAGCAGAAAAATAATTTACGCCATAGTGGAGAATCCGTCTTTGAATACAAGTCACAAAATAAGTGAGAAGACAATTGGCCTCATTCACGTCTCTACGAGAAGCCGGTCGACCACCGTGGGGGCAGCAGCCACCCAGCAGCCGGGAGCGCCAGCCGAGAGCGCCAGCCGGTTCCCGGCCGGTTGCCTGCCATGCTGACCGATGTTTGTAGAGTGCCAAAGCGAGTCGACCCTCGGGTGGTGGAGGTGATGCTGCTGCTGCTGAACGGTGGCACCGCCCCGCATGAACACGTTAACCTGCTGCTGCTGCCGCCACCGCTGCTGCTGCTGCCAGTTTGCGCAGTCCCCCCCCTGCCCACCTTCCAAAATAAATAATGAGCTCACTGGCTCTCGCATTTTGAATTACAACGTGCATTTATTGATCTTAGGGCCATTTCAAATAACCTCTAAGTTTTGTAAGCACGTATCCACATTTAGTCATGTTAAATCATTCAACTCAAATGCTAACGTGTTATGTGTTTGTGTATATATCTGTCTTTGTGTGCATATGCGTGTGTTTGCGGAGCGGTAGTGTGGCAATTGGCACGCTGCGCTACGAACCCGGCGACCCGAGTTCGATTCCCGCTCATGGCTAACACCGGTGCCTATTATCTGAACCAGTCCTGGGCCTACACTAGGTCGACTCGGCCTCAAATGAGTACCTGGTGCGGTGTGTAAACATCGCCATTAGGGAGACAAAGGCGGCCGGGGGTGGTGTTGGCCACCTACCCCCTCAGTGTGCCGTGCCGGCCTTCATAGGTGCTCGCTAACAAAACAGGTTATACGGGGGATCTTTGTCTTTGTGTGCATGTGTGAGCGGGTGTCTGAACACGCGTGTGTGTGTGTACATGTGTGTGTATGTGTCCGTGCGCATGCTGAATTATTGGTTTGTGTTTGACTTTGTGTGTCTGCGTGTGTCTGTGTCTCTGTGAGTGCGTGCGTGTGTGTGCTTGTTGGCACAACTACAGTTCCGCGCAATGGATTGTGGGAATATCTCCAAGTGGCCCTGACCTGTGGCAGGTGTGCGGAGTGGCTGGCCCAGAAGAATTCATCATCTATACACTGGTAACACACACATCTATACACTGGTAACACACACATCTATACACTCACTGGTAACACACACATCTATACACTGGTAAGACACACACATCACTACACTCACTGGTAACACACACATCTATACACTGGTAAGACACACACACTGGTTTCACACACATCACTACACTCACTGGTAACAAACAAATCTCCACACTGGTAGTACACATGCATCTCTACACTGGTAACACACACACACATATTTACAATGGTAACACACACATATCTGCACTGTTGCAGAGGTTCGTGGTTCGAGCTCAGCATCCGCCCTGGTTAATACTGTGAGTGCGTTAACCGCAAACACCACGTGCCGTGTGCTTCACAGTGGACGTTAACGTTCCTGTGACGTCGTTCAAAACTAGGGTAGGTTATTGCGTGGCGGCGTCACGCTCCAAACTTACCAAGATTGAACATTACCTGCAACAAATGACTTAATCAGGGGAAAGCCACATCACAACCATCATCCCCTGCTGGCAGAATCTAGCTGTCTGTGAAACGCTTCACCATCGTGATAACCTAGTGGTACAAACCTGGAACAAACGCCAAATGTATGAATGATTGCTTGGGGTTGATTTGTCTACTTTTGTGAACAGAGAGCTACCCAGAATTCCCTGAAGCTCGTGGAGTCGCACACCCGTTCCCTGCCTGCTGGGGAACCTGGCGCGTGGCTCTCCCACGCTGGCTCCGTGCAGCTGCAGGGAGGCACGTGTGCACGCGCACGCTCTACGTGCTCCAGCTATGAGCATCTGCCTCATCGCCATTACCGTGCGAGAGATGTGATGTGAATGAGGTCACGTAACGCGATTTGTATTGAAAATTACATTTTAGCTGTCAACTTCAAATTTCCACATTGAACGAGTCGGCGCCAGTAACATGTCACCGATGCTTTGGTAGGGTTTCGTGTCTGTATTGGACACGGCTAGTGCTGGCTTCCTACATTCATCTGGGATGTATTTTCCGTGTCCCGGAGTATGTACGCATGTATGTTGAACTTCTTACGTACCGTTCGTAGCCAATTGCGCTAATTGGAGGTGCAGAGGTAGGGCAACAAACGAAACACAGAAAGCAGTTGTAAAGAAATGAGTTTTCAATCTCGACTATTTAGAAGTGCATAGCTCCAGTGGCTTCCTAATATCGGAAGGAAGAGCGTTCCAGACGGCCGCAGAAGCGCATCTGAAAGCGCGCAATGCGGTGACCGTCTTTGTTCGATGGCCCAGCCAAAAGTCGCTGGGAGGCTGAGTGGAGTTCACGTGATGGTTTACGCTCCTTAACGAGATCAAGGTGTTGTGGTTCCTTTGTGGCAAGCACTTTGAGTGATGGTGTGCTAAGTCGACACCCAACTAGGGTTTGAACTCACAACCTCCCGAATGTCAGCCGCTCGCTCTACCACTAAGCCAGTTGGCCGGATTAGTGCATGGAGCTGCGTTAATCAGCGTGTAGAGCCGGGTTATTAGTGGCGCTTCTCTCCTTTGTTCAAGGTCCCCACTGGGCTTGTGGGGATTCCCGGGGAAACCTGGAGCTGTGGTCGGCTGCCCGGGTGGTTGCCGGTCCGCATGGTGGTGGTGGTGGTGGTGGCTGTGCCACTGGTTTTGTCTCCCACACGCAGCGGGTGAGTTACTGGTTGCGCGAGGCCGCTCTCGTAACGCGTGTGTGGCTGCTTGTGTATTTTAATTGTCAACCGCAGCCTCCACTTGTGTGGAGTTCTCCATTTTCTGTGGAATATTTGAATTCAAATTTGGTAATTATGATTTAATAAAAACCCCATCACAACAGACAAATGAACGAAGACTGGAATAAATTATATATAACAACAGAGGTGTGCAGGATTGCATGTACCAAAACACTTCCAGCCTTATCCAGACCACCAGCTCAAAAGAACTGAACGCTCGGGCATTTCGTCATTAGACCGCCGCGGCCACATCATCACATACATTCAGTTCCGTTTGAGCTCGTGGTCTGGACGAGGCTGAGAGGTTTGTGTACACGCAGTGCTGCACGCCGGCGTGCGTTGTGAAATCTGCCGGTGTGTTCCCATTCACGCCGTTTTGTATTTGTCACAAATGCCGCAGCCTTCAGATCACGGCCCAGGCTGCGTTTATCTTCTTCGTTCTTTCGGTAAAGTCACGTAGAATGGAAATAATAAAATAATAAAATAATTCTCACGACGTTTCGGCCACAACGCAAGCAGCCGTCATCAGGTGAAGACCAGGTCTCTCGGGGAGACAGCGTTTTTTTAACAGGCTGCGTTTGTCCGTTTGGCGTTGTGAAGCGCCGCCACTCTGTAACTGGCGCCGCCGCAAATGTCTCCTGCAGGTGCACGGTGCCGATGTGACCGGGGTCTACGTCGTAGGCTCCGTGCTGGTAACAGCTTCCCTGGACCACAGCGTCAAGCTCTGGTCTCTGCCTGACCTCCGCCAGGTAAAAGGCCTTCTGGGTGGGCAGAGCCAGGAATACTCGAGGAGACAACGTTTGGAAAGTGAATGAGCGACGATCATTTTTAAGTGTTTTGACCGCAGTGTTATTATCACGACCTTATCCAATTTCGGAAGCGTTGTTCGCTCGCATCTGTTGCAGCTTTGGTAGTGCTGTTCACTGCTGGCCACTTGACGCTTTGTGCAGGTCTCAGCGACCGTGTTGAGTGATCGCTGCGACTGTTCTGTCCCTCCTTGCGCCGTCGGCGTGTTCGTGCAGCTGGGCCTGTTCGTGTGCGGCGGGCCCGTCACCTGCATGAGGACCATCGCCTGCGGAGGTCACGAGGTCGTCGTGTGTGGAGATTCCCTGGGACAAGTTTACTTCCTCCGTCTGCATGACGCTTTCTTCTAAACGCTAACTTCCGTTTTCGCGGGTTTGGTAAAACAATGACTACAAATGGAAATTACATTTCACGAGCGCCGTGATAAAAACAAATGCACTACATATAAGGACTATCTATAAAAATGCATGACGGCCTCATATATCGTTAGGATGATGCAATATTGTTGTGATTGGTTGCTGTGTTTGGGTAAACATTGATCACGATAATTTGGGTACAATTTTGTGCATGCAATTAGGTGAAGTGGAAAATATAATTAATTTAAATAGTAGGGTCACTGAATACGTAGGATGCGAAGAGAACAATAATCTACGCGCGTTACGAGTACATCTTGTGTATGCCGGCAGCTATGGTGTGGCAATGGCATTAAACTGGTGACCCTTATCCGTGTCTGTGCGCGTGCATTCTCTGATGCTGTGTAGTTCATACGGAGATGGGTGAGGTGGGTGAGGTGGGTAAAATGGGTGAGTGACCTCCGTCCAGCTACAAGCACCGGCACTGGAATTGTGGAGTGTTGAGCAGAGCGTGTTCGATGTCAGTGTGGGCAGGTTGAGTCCAGTGAGCGGTGTGAGTGGTGGGCGGGGTGGGTGGTGGGCGGGGTGAGTAGTGGGCATCGTCTAAATCCTCGGTCTCTCTGGCCTGGGAGCTGCAGTGCAGTTGCACCGCCTGCGCACTTGGCAGTTCCGCCACTGGGTGAATTCAACTTTGCGCTGCACTATCAACAGCAGCAGCAGCAGTAGCCGTGCTCAATCCGCTGCTGGATGAAGGCTCCCCGCTGCCGCCTCTCACGGCCCTGCGATGCGACAATGCGGCCAGCGCCGGCACGTGGCCTCCACCAGAGACGCCGCCCTCCTTGGTGGCCGCGTCTCAGCCGCCGGTGTTAGACCGGAGAACAGACGCCAACGCAGAAGCAGCACAAATCAACGTCAAAGACAATGCGTGCATTAGTATTAAAGCATGTGTGCATGTTTTAGCACACGCGTGTGTTGTTAATGCAGATTTCACGACGCCTTGCAATTATAGGTGTATATTTGGTGTTTTGACATCTTAAAACCTCATGCATTATTGCCTTCTATTTTATCACTTGGATACCTATTTCACCACTGAGCGACACGGCTCCTTGTTTTTGTCAGAAGCGACCTGGCCACAATCGAAGGCAGCTCAACGAAGCGTTGGCTTTTCATCGCGTCTAAATTGATAACAGCAAGCAGCAGCTATCAAATCACTCTAAACGCACGTTTCTCACACGGGCAACGAAGTCTCCCCGTCAGACACAAGAGAGGAAAGCACCGACTGGCGTTGTGTCCACACGAGCACAACCGCTCGTCCGTCCGTCCGCCGCGGACAAAGGCGCCGCCTCTCCCCCCCCCCCCCCCCCCCCACACGGTTCGCTGGTCAACTAACACCGGTCCCCTGGGCCAACAGAGCCACCGGACAACGTGGGGATGTCACGGTTCGTGCCCGGCTCCCTTTTGGCAATGAAGCGCGCGTCTGTTAAACTGCCCATGAGTTGTGAGTGTTTCAAAATCGCGGCGAAAGAAAAAAATGATTGGGTGTAATTTGCGAGTTTTGTAATGTTTAATCACGTGTGTAGATGCTGCGTGACCGCATTTGCTTTTTCATCTGTGTGTGTGTGTGTGGATGTTGTGCTGATGTAGTTTGGTGTTAACTCGTTCATAAACCAGAGAAAGCGGATCTGTGTTTGGTTGTAAGTGCGATGCTCTGTGTACGTGGCTCTGACTCGCGTTTGTAAGGGCCCTCCTGTGCGCGCGCGCTCTTGCTTTGGCAACTCCGCTGCATTACTCAGAGCCGGAATGGCATAGACACGGAGCTGTTTGCAACACTTAAATACGTAATTAAGTTAATGGCTACGAGTGCTTGGCCAACGCAGCCTCGACTATTTGCGGGGGCAAAACATGTGTTTGCCATTTGAGTGAGTGAGTGAATGAATGAATGCTCAGGTGTCCTCTTTAAAGATCGCTTTGGATGCGTTAATTGGTGTGCGGCGTGCGCGGGGTCCAGGATGCATAAGACAAGATTAGAAATTTGATTTAATGTGATGCGTGTAATTACACCCGGCGCGTCACGAGTTCCATGCAACATTTTTATTTGGCCTTTAAAATCCGCGCCACAAACGAGCCAATTGTTGCACAAGTCCATGGGAGGATTGTGCAGCGCGCAGGGCGCAGGGGGACGCCGATCTGCCTGCCAGGCTCCGCTCGCCGTGACCCGCACGCGCCTCCCGTCAATGTCACCCGTGCTGCCACCCGTGCTGCCACCCGTGCTGCCACCCGTGCTGTCACCCGTGCTGCCACCCGTGCTGCCACCCGTGCTACCACCCGTGCTGCCACCCGTGCTGTCACCCGTGCTGCCACCCGTGCTGCCACCCGTGCTGCCACCCGTGCTACCACCCGTGCTGCCACCCGTGCTGCCACCCGTGCTACCACCCGTGCTGCCACCCGTGCTGCCACCCGTGCTGTCTCCCGTGCTGCCACCCGTGCTGCCACCCGTGCTGCCACCCGTGCTGCCACCCGTGCTGCCACCCGTGCTGCCACCCGTGCTGCCACCCGTGCTGCCACCCGTGCTACCACCCGTGCTGCCACCCGTGCTGTCACCCGTGCTGCCACCCGTGCTGCCACCCGTGCTGTCTCCCGTGCTGCCACCCGTGCTGCCACCCGTGCTGTCACCCGTGCTGCCACCCGTGCTGCCACCCGTGCTGCCACCCGTGCTGTCACCCGTGCTGCCACCCGTGCTGCCACCCGTGCTGCCACCCGTGCTGTCACCCGTGCTGCCACCCGTGCTGTCACCCGTGCTGCCACCCGTGCTGCCACCCGTGCTGCCACCCGTGCTGCCACCCGTGCTGCCACCCGTGCTGCCACCCGTGCTGCCACCCGTGCTGCCACCCGTGCTGTCTCCCGTGCTGCCACCCGTGTTGTCACCCGTGCTGCCACCCGTGCTGTCTCCCGTGCTGCCACCCGTGCTGTCACCCGTGCTGCCACCCGTGCTGTCACCCGTGCTGTCACCCGTGCTGCCACCCGTGCTGTCTCCCGTGCTGCCACCCGTGCTGTCACCCGTGCTGCCACCCGTGCTGTCACCCGTGCTGCCACCCGTGCTGCCACCCGTGTTGTCACCCGTGCTGCCACCCGTGTTGTCACCCGTGCTGCCACCCGTGCTGTCACCCGTGCTGTCACCCGTGCTGCCACCCGTGCTGTCACCCGTGCTGCCACCCGTGCTGCCACCCGTGCTGTCTCCCGTGCTGCCACCCGTGCTGCCACCCGTGCTGCCACCCGTGCTGCCACCCGTGCTGTCACCCGTGCTGCCACCCGTGCTGCCACCCGTGCTGCCACCCGTGTCGTCACCCGTGCTGCCACCCGTGCTGTCACCCGTGCTGCCACCCGTGCTGCCACCCGTGCTGCCACCCGTGCTGTCACCCGTGCTGCCACCCGTGCTGCCACCCGTGTCGTCACCCGTGCTGCCACCCGTGCTGCCACCCGTGTTGTCACCCGTGCTGCCACCCGTGCTGCCACCCGTGCTGCCACCCGTGCTGTCTCCCGTGCTGCCACCCGTGCTGCCACCCGTGCTGCCACCCGTGCTGCCACCCGTGCTGCCACCCGTGCTGCCACCCGTGCTGCCACCCGTGCTGTCTCCCGTGCTGCCACCCGTGCTGCCACCCGTGCTGCCACCCGTGCTGCCACCCGTGCTGTCTCCCGTGCTGCCACCCGTGCTGCCACCCGTGCTGCCACCCGTGCTGCCACCCGTGTTGTCACCCGTGCTGCCACCCGTGCTGTCTCCCGTGCGGCCACCCGTGCTGCCACCCGTGCTGCCACCCGTGCTGCCACCCGTGCTGTCTCCCGTGCTGCCACCCGTGCTGCCACCCGTGCTGCCACCCGTGCTGCCACCCGTGTTGTCACCCGTGCTGCCACCCGTGCTGTCTCCCGTGCTGCCACCCGTGCTGCCACCCGTGCTGCCACCCGTGCTGCCACCCGTGCTGCCACCCGTGTTGTCACCCGTGCTGCCACCCGTGCTGTCTCCCGTGCGGCCACCCGTGCTACCACCCGTGCTGCCACCCGTGCTGTCACCCGTGCTGCCACCCGTGCTACCACCCGTGCTGCCACCCGTGCTGTCTCCCGTGCTGCCACCCGTGCCGCCACCCGTGCTGTCTCCCGTGCTGCCACCCGTGCTACCACCCGTGCTGCCACCCGTGCTGTCTCCCGTGCTGCCACCCGTGCTACCACCCGTGCTGCCACCCGTGCTGTCTCCCGTGCTGCCACCCGTGCCACCACAAGTGCCGCCACCCGTGCCGTCACCCGTGCCGCCACCCGTGCCACCACCCGTGCCGCCACCCGTGTCGTCACCCGTGTCGTCACCCGTGCTGCCACCCGTGCTGTCACCCGTGCTGTCACCCGTGCTGCCACCCGTGCTGCCACCCGTGCTGTGTGGGGGCCGTCGGCCCCCGGGGTCCCTCCCGCCTGCATCCCCTATTCCGTTTACGTTACGCCCACCTCCCTATTACCCGCTACGGTTTCGCCGGCATTCGAACGCGACGCCCCTACTGTTACAGCCTCGCGCCGCGCTCCCACGCTGCGAGCATACGTGCGCACATCATCGTCAATCAAACGCCGTGCTCGCAGTATAGCCCTGTGCGGCACGTTACCAATGCGCATCCGTATTATACACGTAGTGAACGTGCGCGCACACACGCATACAGCTCCACACGCGATACGCACTCTTGCGCCGCTCTGCGCAGCGCTCGCCGCCTGCTGGCCGCTTACGTTATGAGCGCGCACCTGGGGGACGCCGATTACGCACGCACGCCCACCCACACGCCGCTCCGCGCACTCCAACTCAACTCACGTTATACTCGCGCACCTGTATCACACACGGAGTGAACACACGCGACACCCACTCTCGCACCGCTCTGCGCAGCGCTCCCCCGAGGCGAGCCGCAGCACCACAGAATCACTGCGTACCCACGCGCAACCCGCGCGCTCAGCTCCGCGCAGCGCTCACTCACGTGGCGAACCACTGTGCACACAGCGCACCCACACGCTCACACTGCACGACAAGATCACGCGAGACCACGCTTCGCTATTAATGATTTATTATATGCCACCTGCGAATTGATGTTGAATCAGTGAGTCGACGAGGCTGGCCTATTCCACTAAACCTGTACCTATTCCCTATTTATCTGCTATGATTCTAATTCCCCTTCTTACTCACTGTTAAGTGTCCACGGCGGTCCGCTGATCCCGGTGCTCACCGCGCGCCTCGGTGCGTCGCACGGACGTCCGGGTCGCTGGCTGGAGCTGCGTCTGGTCGCCTGGCGCTGGAGTAAGAGAGCGATTTCCCCTCTGCGCTCCTCTATTTATCCTCCC